TATATATATATATATATATATATATGTCGATTTGTCCCAATACACCACCAGAGATTCGACCACCAGAGGTACACACTACACACTAGACACAGCCCCCACTCGTGGCTGTCTGATCATCTCTTTCCCACACACGTCTCGGCAAACTCAGCCTAGATTTCTAGCGCTTGTCGTCAATTTGTTCCTGATTTCTGCCGATTCTGAAAATGCCAAAATTTAAGCCTGTGATCTAAATTTTTTAACATGACCTCTAGTTTATACTTGATCAAAAATCGAATCAGGTTTCTTTCTCTAGCGCTAGCGATGTTGACAGCTCGGCGTTGGTGATCAGAAAGAATGGGCTGTAGGCGACTAGGCGAGGACTACACACTACATACCCGGAGTACCCGTGTGCTTCTCGGCTCTAGGTTAACTTGCCCGCTGTGTTGTCCCCCACCCCATCACACCCTGTGGTGCGTTCCGCCTGCTTGCGCACGTCACACATTCGCTCCATCCACTGTGACCTCTCCATCCCCGCATCGGAGAAGTGAGAGGCATGGTAGGCCTAATCTAGACTAGACTGGCCCCTCAGGAGCACGTAGTCTCAGTATCTACGTACACGGTAACCGGGCACCTAGTCTCTGTATCTACGTACACGGTAACCAGGCACCTAGTCTCAGTATCTACGTACACGGTAACTGGGCACCTAGTCTCTGTATCTACGTACACGGTAACCGGGCACCTAGTCTCACCTAGTCTCTGTATCTACGTACACGGTAACCGGGCACCTAGTCTCACCTAGTCTCTGTATCTACGTACACGGTAACCAGGCACCTAGTCTCTGTATCTAAGTACACGGTAACCGGGCACCTAGTCTCACCTAGTCTCAGTATCTACGTACACGGTAACCGGAATGAAAATAAATCAATATTTGTCCTGTGCTGTCACTTGCTGAAAAAATAAAAGAAGGTCATCCATGTACAAGTGTCTTGTCGGGCTCGCCATCGTGACCGGTCAGTGAACCTGCGCGTGTGCATCACATTGGGGTCACCAAAGTTCATTCAAAGTGTGCGCTGCGAAGTATAGGGCTCCGGAATGGGGGGATTATTGATTTTTTAAAGGCTGGCACTATTTCTCCCAACGTTCGGGAAAATAAAGCTGGGCACTATTTCTCCGAACACTCTGAAATCACATCCTTTCCCGCAAATTTTGGATATGTATAAAATTATATTATATGCCTACCAAAGATTGTTCGTATACAATATGGTTCAATCAGTCCAAAAAATGTCCACAGTAAATATTTATATAAAGAAATGCTACAGTTCCAAACAGTTTTTCGCTACAGATATGACGTGTTGCCTATGAAGGGTGCTGCTCTTAAACTTACGGCCCCGCGTCCACTGCGCTTTTCCGTCACTTGCAGGCCAAACTCACATGCAAATGAGCTTGTTTTTGTCAGTCACTGACTGCCTTTGCCTGACTACGCCATTTTCCTGCATGCACGCTTTTTCGTCAGTCGTGTAGGGGACTAAGAAAGCCTCGATTCGACTCATTTTGGAAGGGAATTTGCATCTTTAAGTACATTTTTGCTTTTTCATTGCACTTTACATGATCAATAAAGTTGTATCTCATTATGATATGTTGTACAATAGCAGATTTGTGCTGAAAAACAGCAAAAAATTTAAAATAAAGCACTTGACCTAGATCTAGATCTAGATTATTTCGTTCTCGGGAGAGCTAAAAATAGGCCAGGTTAGACCTTGCTTGCTAAGGACGTGTCTAGATCTAGATCTACGTTCTCTAATGTTTAGTGCATCCAATTTTCCGCCAATTTTTAGTTTTATTCAGACCTTATCTGCCGGTCCACTAGATCTAGATCTGGGCCGAGATTCTAGATCTACATCTCGATCTATTATGTCGCTTTGCCTTTCCTGAAACAGTGCTGTAAATATGAAGCTTAATCTACCCATCGCTGATGAAAGTTCTGATGGCTGAGTGAACAGTGTGTCTGCGTTGGAAGACAAACATTATTTTTTAGCATGGGTTCGAATCCCAGTCCCAGCTTTTTTTTTTTTTCTCCTCATCGTCCCAACTTACCAACAATTTTTTCCCATAATTATAATTTGTTGCTTTTTAGTTTTTTAAAGTGGTAAATAAATATAAATAAATCGCCTGTACTGTCTGTTGTTTTCGTAATCATAACACACTGGGCTAAAAATAGATTTAGCTGGTCTGACGTCGGTGGACGTGGATCTTTTTGAGTGGCTTCTACACCATGCAAAAACTTGGTACATTAGCCTGGCCTGGAGGTGATCTGATTTTGGTGGACGCGTAGGCTTACGTGTTGTGTTCACTCGTGTGCTGTCTAGATCTAGATCGAGATCTAAGGAGGGTTATTGATAACGACACATGGAACTAGCATCTGCGTTTGTCGTGGCCGCAACCAATCAATCGTGGCTCGATTTTTTGGCATTTTTTTGGTCCCTGAATCGGGGAATTACAGTCAAGTTTTTTTTAAAAAGAAGAAAAAAAAGAAGAAACCGAACCTCTTTACTTTTGAAAGAAAGTTCACCTAGCCTCACTTCGTCTCTTTCTCACTTGTCACCACGTTTATTTGTTGAATATGTTACAGTTACATACGATTTGTATTGCTGTTCCTCTTTTATTTTTCCCTCTTTGTGCTGTTTTATTTTGTTGGTGTGTCATTTTTTTTTTTTTTATTGTTATT